GAGGCATCAATACGACAGTCATCTTCTCATCGGTCGCTGTTCAGAAAGAAGAGTGAAACATCGTCAGAAGTAATACAATGATTTATTATTGTAATATTTGTTCACAGACCTTAGTTGTAACACTGTTTATATGTTGGTGTAACAATAAAGAATCCTCGAGTCACCAATTGGTGTTTTGGTTTTTTCGTCCGTTATTACTAAGCGTTTCTGAGAAACTTCAAGCGACAGCGTGAGCCCGAGCGTAGCAAGAGCTGGGCATTAACGGTTTACGATACGTGGCTGACAACTTGTATGACGGTTGCAGTCGTTGAAGAAGCCAAAGTAATTGGAACCTAAAATGCCGAAACTAGACTAGACACTGTGTCTTAATATCAGCCTTCTTTACCACGGAGGCCTGTGAGGCGGGCGTAGGAATCTTTCGAATCCGCGTCGGATTTAGAGCGATAGTACAAATGGAGTCATGTCTAGCCGTTCACTGATTTTCCAGCTTCAAAAACTGCCAACACACGGACACTGAAGCTAGTTCCGCCGCCAGCTGACCAGTGCATTAAATGCAGAATGCTATCGGCTGCAACCAACTGAGAAATATCAGAAGACGACTGTCACACTAGATCCAAAGTATTCACAGCCAGTAGCCCATCGCAAGCCCAATGTTTGTTCAATCTGTAGCATATCAATGGGCAGTTCCCGTCAGGTGGGTGCACTGTCTCCTTGAACTATATGCCTCGAAGCCTTTGAGCTGTTCAAGATAAAGTCAAACGAAACCTGGCCTTAGTTAGGACATTGATAACACTCGACGCAAATTTGCCTGCAAATAAGGCAGTTTCGTTGCAGCAAATTTGCTTTGAGGCTGGAATTATTGGAAATTATGTCGGAATTCGAATATTTCGGTCTTTGTGATATTCCTGGAATTTACCAAGGTATTTGGCACCATTCATCAGGCCATCCATCACAGAGGAAGTTGGGCAGATACTGGTGGCTCACTTCTTTAGTGGTTGCAGTACAGCTAAGATAAGCAAAGTCAGTCATGCCCTATCACTCTGACGCTGCACAGCATGGGATTTTTACATGCCTCTATTCTGGGTGAGGTGAGTACAATATGTGCATTGACATTAAAAAGGTAAGAAAGACGAAGGCTCGCCTGACGAACCAGAGATAGAAGCCCTGAAATACCTTTAGAATAACAAGGACATAGTGATCATTAAGTCAGATAAAGGAAATGCCACCGCACTATTAGACAAATCAGACCATTTGAACAAGGTGAATACCCTCACACACCCGAGACCATATGAGGAAATTTAGGAATCAATAGATCCCTTCATGAATAAGTTAGAGAAATCTAAAGCAGACTTAATACACGGATGAAGCCGTTTCTAGGTGAGTCTAAATGGCTTAATTTAGTTCCGAAAACTAAAATCCAAGTAAGATATATGGCGCTGTTAAAATGCACGACTAAGTGCACCCTATGCACTTATAATTGATTTTAGGGATTCACCTACACATGCATTGTCTAAATATTTAGCTATGGTGTTAAATCGTCTTAGAAACCACTCAAAGTCTAGACTAAACCAAATAAACTAAAACGTGGATTAAATAATTTAGAATTAAATAGGGGAAAACACTGTTAGTTTTGAATATATCAGTTTATATACACGTATACTGATAAATATGGCTATAGAAGCAGTTAGAAACGAAATCATTTCTGACCAAGAATTTGAACTTAAGACGAAAGTATTCATAGAGGACATAATAATGGGAGTTCAGCTATGTCTAACAGTATTTAAATTGCAATGGAAAATAAAAAAGCGAACTAAACGAGTTACCATGGGGTCGCCAATATCCCCGATAGCGGAAGATATCTTCATGGATAGTTAGGAAAACTTGGCGATTGAGACGTTCGGCCACACCCCAAGATTATGATGGATGTATGCAGGTGATAAATTCGCCGTGCCGAGAACGAGGGACATAAACAGATTTTCGGGACACATCAACTCAACGGTGCAGTCAACTCAATTTTCCTATGAACCGGAAAGTCGGGGAGGGAAGCTTTCATTGTTAGATTTTACCGTTATATGGACAGAAGATGGGAAGTTAAACTCTGGTGCTCACAAGAAATCCACACTTTCAAGCTGATATTTGGATTTCCGATCATCGCACCAAATGTCAGTAAAAATGGGTCGATGAAGTGTTTCAGCAATAAGACTAGAAAACTATGTAGTACCAAGGAAATTCTGAGGCGGGAAGCGGGACATGTGGGAGAAGCTTTGAAACTAAACAATTGCCCTGATAAATTTTTTAGGAATAATGTAGGTGAATGTACGGGTGAAGTAATAGTCATGATAGTAATAACATTAATGACAACGCCCATGTCGAACATGCACAGGATAATGACAACACTAACAATGGGAAATTTAAATCGCCAATAACACTTCAATACAAAGAAGAAACCTCGGGAACCTTACGGAGAATCCTTAACAACACAGGAGAGAAAGTGACATTCAAACCCAGAAACTGGAATAGAAATAACCTTTGTTAGTCGATGGAAGAGAAGTATAGTTTTTGAATGATTTATATTGGTTCCATCAAGCCTGAAAATTTTTGATATTTGGAGACTGTTCTGTGTACTGACTTCCTATCTTTCTTTCTTGTTGCAGCCCACGGAGTTAAGCGCATCAGACAGGAGGGAGTCGAATGCGCTGACGAAGCTGGATAAGAAGGGATAAGAAAGATATCCGAATGGCCTACTTCTTTGAAACCCACACATCACACTATTATTGGGTATCATATCTAGTGTTTCTTTACCACTATCCTTTTTCTCTTGCCTTACTCTTCTGAATACTGCACCTATTCATTCACTTATTTTACTTTTTAGACTATTAGATTTCACTCACTGTTTGCGCACAATATAATAATTGTATTTGCCACTATTATCTGGGCGGTGGCCAGTGGCATGACTTTCAACCTGAAAAAGTGCAAAATAGTGAAGTTTTTTTGATTACAGCTTGATTCCACGCCGTATTTTTGGTAAAAGTATGGAATTTTCAGCGTGGATATCGGTAGCCCAAAATTCGCAGGCCGACCATAGATATCAGGTGTGCGTCGGCGTGGGCTCGAACTCCGGACCATGTGCATGGTCGGCGAGAGTCCTAACCACTGCATCTGTAGACTTCAGAATGCAAGTTACACCTTGTGCAATGAAAGCTTGTCCTGCAAAACGTCGGAACGCGACTTAGGACTAGTTCTAACGGAAAAAATGGACACAAGTGTAAATTACACAGGGGATGTAGCGAGGGCATATGCGGTCATACACCTTACTCATAAGCAGTTAGGTGCACCCACTCCTGAGCTCTTTCTAAGGTTGTACAAAACATACGTCAGGCCACACCTTGAGGTGCACTATATTATTGCACCCCCAATGCTGAGAAGAGACGCCAACCTATTGGAAAGAGTCCAACGACTGGCAACAAAAGGAGTGGTTGGCCTCCGAAACAAACCATATTATGGAAGGCTGAATCAATCAGGCCTGTTCACACTTAGTTACCGTCGGCTGAGGGGGATTTGATTACTGCCTACAAAATAACAAATGACCAGAATCACCCAAACAAAGGTGTTCTGCCATTGAGTAGGTATAGGCTCCCACGTGGAAATCCCAGAAGGATAGCTCACCAGAGGGCAAGGACCCGGGTGCGCTCCCACTTCTTTTCACTGCGGGTTTGCCGTCCCTGGAATTCCCTACTGGCAGATGTAGCTATGGCACCGTCTTTGGATGTCTTTAAGCGAAGGCTGGACAACCATGCATCGACACAAGGACTGCATCCAAATGGCCTATCCCCTTAAAATCACATACACCATTCAGGGGTAGACAATTAAACTCGTTGTCTTACTTCTTTACATTCTCTTCCGTCTTACTCTCCTGACAACTTATTAATATTATAATTATTATTGCTATCATTATTATTATTACCGATATATATATATATATTATTCTTCAAACTTAATCAGCTGACTGTTGTTACGCTTTCCTATTTCCGTTTCTGTCTCTTAGTCAGAATAACTTCCCTGATTATATCTATTATTAGCATTATTATTATTACTATCCCTTTTCTCTTGTCGACGAAAGCGGAGGACTAACTGGCGAAAGGATCAACTCCAGTCACGGTAGTGACAGTCTTAACACACCCCATACTACAAACCCCATGTAATTAATCCAGCACTACTGTCAACCAAAGCTACGACAGTCGAGTGGCGGGACAAGCTACGGAGAAGTTTACCGAAGATCAGGAACCTATACCTTACAATCAAGAAGCGAGCACAAAGAAACCAAATTGGTTTATACTAGCTCGTAAAAACGATATTTGATTATCACCTCTTCTTTCGACAACATTGGACGAATAGCTGGTGAACGCATCAAATCCGTTCACAGCGATGACACAGTCTTAGCACACATTCTGCAAACCACATTTTAACGGTCTCCTCAACACTATGTTCATAGTCAACCAAAGATACGCTAGTAAAATAATAGAATATACTACGCAGAAATTTACCGAATTCAGGACCCTTTGCTTTACACCGTTTATCACAAGTCAAATATCAGCAACAAAGCACAACACTCCCACAGGGGCCAGCAAGGCTATATGAGGGGATTGACTGAACGAACCAGAAACTTACTGATGATCCATTACACTTCTGTGAAGATAAAACTGATATAAACCACTCTAGGTATATACTAACTGGTTAATACTAACGTTGGGCCGGGTTAGTACTTGCATGGTGACTGGCTGGGAATACTGGGTGTTAACGCTCCCCACAATCACACATTATTTACCGAAGATCAGGACCCTATACCTCACAACCAAGAGTAGGGCTCAAAGAAACCAGAGTGGTTTATACTAGCTCGTAAAAACGATAGTGGATATTAGAACAAGTGAAAAGTGTAGATATTGGATAGTGAAACGTCTCCGTTTCCATGGTAATTACATGAAGTCATTTTTGATATACAGATGTTGGAACCTGACCACAAACATGTGGCGAGCATATTTAGTCACTATGAAGTGAATATATTTATTTATTTGTTGAGAAATAGGTGACTGAAAATTTGGGTAAAGGATGTCAGGGCGTATCATATAAGCTGAGACGTCTAGACAGTTCTGAATTCTTTGTTTTGAAGATGGTTAGGTGTAATACTATACCTACATTTCATCGCAGATTGAATGCAGAAGTTTGAGGCATGCTTATCTACTATTTGACGAGTGTGTCCAGTTACAAAATTTCACACATGCTTTTGTATCGAAAATTATGGAAGTTCGAGTAACAATTAATTCTCAAGTAGAATTGATTTTCTTATGAGTAATTTTTGAAAGAATTCGGCCATTTACCTCTGTGTCATTCGGAGATATATCGATGCCCCAAGTGTTGAATCGATAGTTCAGGAAAATATTGGGAAAAGCAGAGTGAAATGGGAAGTAAGGACTCACAGCTTTCGGATTTAGTGAATATAGTTAATCTATAAAGTTTTTGGAAGTGTACTGGATGTCATGTCTTCTGTTGCTAGGTTGAAATATGCTTCTCTGTAACTTGTGTCTTACCACTATTCCTCTCAAGTTATTTGCATCCTAGAAATATTTTTGTCAATGAAACAACATTCTGCATAACTGATGTCTGGGGTCCCAACCTGATGAAATATATTCGCGGAACGGATGTTTTTGTACAGTGTACGTTCAATTCCTAAATAGTTTTACTTATCATAACCAGTCATCTAATTCTTTAAAACAATTTATATGAAAATTATAGGGCATATTCTACTTTTGTAATAAGTATTCTTTGTTGACCGTATTTTGTTATATGTTTATGAAGGCAGAAAACACATAAATATAAGTAACTCGTCTCACAACTTATTCATGCTCTGGTCACAATTCTTGTAGAGGGAAAATTAGCCTTCAATTAAGATTTTATGGTAGGTTTTAGAATAATGATCAAGAGTAATTTCGGTTAGCTAAGCAGTGAAACCTCTTGGATCTGACAGTTAACTGTGATCAATAAATGATTTTAACAGCGCTTACCATATCAGTTCCATTCGTTTATTTTTTCGCTGAAATGTCCAACACAAATGAAGAGTAGAACGTGTAGCCACTTTCTTATAACTATTTAAATAGCTACAACTAACGGTGCAAAACTACAGCGAACTGGAACTTTTATTACCACGAAACAGAATGATAAGCCCTCAGATTTAACAGAAATCCTTAAATCTATTGTAAAACTTGGGTGTTTGGATGAATTCATTGATTTTGGAGCTGCTATAAATATGCTTCTTCAAAAAATCTTTGTCAGTAGAATCATGTTATAGAGTTTGAGCTTAAGGTCGTTTTTCTCAATCAGTCTCTGTATCACACTTTTCCGTCCACTTCCCTTAAAACAGCATGTAATTACTGATGACACTGCGCTAATTCGCAAGTTTAGAGATGACAATCACTGTTTTTAGGATCTAGAGTTCTAATAGTGAGATGCTGGACACAAGGCAAGCCATCATTTAGGGTTTTTGTATGAAAAATGAGAGAAAACTTCGATGAAGTAATCCTTTAGGGACATCCATTTACTTTGGCTTTGGCATAAAGGCAGTATTGTATTCCTTATGCTTTGGGGAAATAATCCCTGTATTGAAGACTGGAAGATCCGCTGTCAGCAGTTTCGTCACCAGCTTTGCTGATATTGTGAAAAGATTGTAATCATTCGTTCGCCCCATAACTTCTTGAGCATGTTCGAAACGTTTTCAGTAAATATTGCTATTTCGCTGTGTCTTATATCCAATAAACAAACTAATATGGAACTACGGGCCACCACAGTACCCAAGCTTTACACATGTATTCAGTCGTTCATTCAGTGTAAAGTTCAAATATAGGCTTTATTCAATTGAAATTTCATACATTTATTTCTCTTTATGAATTTGAATAAGGCAAAAATAACAGTTTGTGCAGAATCAAATAGTACCGTCATTGACAAACTTACACATAGAGTTCAAGTTTAAGCAAAACATTAATTTATTCATACAGTGGTAATAATAATATTAATCACTTTACTTCAAACAGTAATAATCATACAGGATGGAGTTTTCAGATACTGTTTCTGTGTTTAACTTCTGTTTACTTCATGGATAAATTTCTGTTTATTTGATATCCTAGTCTGGGCGTTTTTCTCAAGATACTGGGAGGGTACTTACAAGAAAATATCCCTTATCATGTCATCTGTCATGATATCTGATCCGTTGAAATACTCTTACTGTTTAAACCCACTGCTTTCAGGACTTATATGTGGATGCTTATAGAGAAACAACCAAGACTCTACAGAGACGTAGCACTTATGTTTTCTGTGTCTAATGCATCATCATGCAAGCTAGAAGTTGAGTTCTTTGAAAATCTTCTACGTTTGCTATCTCACAATGTAAGTTTTTTACTAGTCTGTTCAGGTACTTTAAGATGTGCGTATCCTGCCCTTTTAGTGTAGCAGAAGCAAGGATTGAGGTATAGTTAATTTAGTGTGATCAGTGGACTTGAATGAGCGATCAAAACCTTGCAGAGGGGAGTTGTTCTAATGATAACCTAAGACTTTTTTCTTGCCAGTGAAATGGCCGTTACAGATGTGTTGTATTTCAGAGCCTTTCAAACGTAATTAAACAGATTATATTTTAATGTGCTACCTGACACTGAATACAAACAAGTAATTGTTTACTTTTCATCTTGACAACCATTAAAGTTGTCATCGTTTACGAGTTGAAGGAAGCAAATTGATTAAGCTTTGCATTATTAATAAATGTTTAATGTAAAGGGAAAATTGAATGCAATATTGTACTACATCCTGAGGATCCTACAATAAATCAGACGTAATGTTTAAAATAGAATCATTACTAGTGTGTGAAATCATATCTCAAAAGTTATCCTCAGTTCTCTCAAATATTGCAAGCCATCATAAGTTTCATGAAGAGAATGTATAAAACAGATAACGTAGAAGAACACAAGGCTAATAAGGTAAATTCTGTGCTCAAAACTTCTTAATGCCTATTCATTCCTTTCGACATTTAGTATGTGCATTAACTTTTCAAATTAATCATTCTGAAATTAGGAAAGGCTTGCTTAGTAGTGATAATGATCCCAGAATCCAAAATATGACGAAAGCATAATGTGGATATTGCAATGGCTGAAATATCGAACTCATTTGAGTCACTAATTCATCATTCCAATCTCTCAAGGGATCATATATGTGGTACAACATTGCCAAACATTATCATCTGCTGAATCAGAGAGCCAGAAATTAAAAACCAGTTCATTAGTTGAAATGCAGACTCAAACAGCCTATCCTGGTTAGTTTTAATGGCTCCATATAGATCTGATTCGAAAACTGACGTGGGTGTTCGAAAGCTTGTCATTTACTAGGTAGTGAGTCTCGCATCCCAAGGCAAAGTCACCTATGCGCGTATACCCCAAAAATGATGTTAGTAATATGAGTGACATTTTTATCAAAAATATATGTGACGGTTAGTTTAACAGGCTATAGTAAGACCTGTGGTAAGGTTCTCTATAGACTGCTGGCAGAATTACATCAAGACTATGAACAGGCTGTATGAGTCAAACAAGTTATTTCATTTCAAAAACAACACCAAAAGAAATTGGAAGAAAGTTGGAACAAATATGCAGCGAGATAGAGAACATGGACATATATAAATGAATTTAAAATTTGAATATGGTAGTAAGCATTTCATTCTGCACCCCTGCAGCTGATTGTAGCTCAGGTCAGTAAGAGCCTTTAGGGGTTGGGCTTTATAATCTTACTAACCAATCTTGAGAACCTTTACTTTTTTACGACTAAAACACATAATGCTGTGGCCAAACTATTTTTGTTATTTCCTGACATCGCATATCAAGTAAATCAGCGGCTCGAGAGGTACCACGTCAAGTCGAGTGTTAAATGCTTCAGCATAAGACTGAAAATATAGGCTTTATGAACTGAGAATATATGATAGTTTATACTTCTGTAGAGTTTATTATGAACCAGTAATTTCGATCCCTATCAGCACTTATGTAGGTTTGATGAATACCATCTTCAGTGAGTGAAATTATACTCAGAATCTAACCGTTAGATGAGCATTTATGTCATGATTTCTCATTGAAATACTAATAGCTTTGGGACGCCATAATTAAAAGCAATTCTTCTGAGATGTCTGGAATGATAACATACCAGCTGGTTGTGTTGATAAATCTGTCTTTCAGTCAACTTCCTTTACCAACATTCATAAGTTTTAAATCAGGTATCCAGTTATACAAATTTTCAGAATAAACTCGAGTTACTTTAATTATGATGAATAATAAATTGAAATCTTGAAGATAATGCCTTACTCTTGGACTTTGTTCGCTGGCTACCAGAAGAAGTTATAATAACCTTTCCGAACCTTTCGGAAAATATTTTCCAATAGGTTCTTAAATTAGTGACTCAGACAATTCATACTTACTGTCTTAGCTGTGGCAGAATAGTTTTATGGGATCAACAGTTGCTTTTGTATGACGACTGATAGGAAGTCTGTATTCACTAACTAGTAAATGAGGGGAACTTTCTACAGTTAGACGATAATTTCCATCAGCTACGAAAAGCTAAATGACTATACATTTTTGAAAGACATCATACATTAACTAGAAAGTGGAGAAAAGTCTGGAAAATTAGGAAATACAAACAAATACTACAGAAAAAAGTATATATATACATATACATAAAGTATTTTATTCGTATCAAAATTAATCTTCCAAAAAGAAATTTACAAGCCAGTAATGTCTTGTGTTATTATGTAATATAGTCACAAGTATGCGTAGAACTCTGACTGTTTGTTGTTGTGCGTAGTAAATGGGTTCCTTTTACTTCTCGTCTTTTTTTCCTCTTCTAGCCTTTGAGCAAATTATAAACCCTGACCTTTTAAGTGAAATACCTATAGAATGTCCACAAGATGAATTTTCTCGAAGACGCTTGCGTAAGTGAAATACATTTTAGTGGTTACCATTTTCATGATTTTGTACTTTCTGTTGACGGAATCACTAAACTGATGGTGATGCAAATACACGTAGAGAGATTATCATATCATTAATGTTACTAATGGTATTGAGTAAGACTTTAGCCGTCTCCTGATCTGGTATCCTAATTGAATTAATTTGCATCTTGTTTGACCGAAACTAATCAATTCATATTTTGTATTAAATTGTAATTACATTTTGAATACATTCAGTTCATTCACTTCCATTTGTTTTCTTTTTGTGTCTGTAGATATTTAAAACCTAATTATTTAGTAACTTAGTCTCTTCCCTTACCTCTTAACGATTTGCTGATTTTCCGTCACCAAATCAAGGAAATTTCAGTAAATTTTATACACTGGTATTTTTAAACTCACTTCTACACTTTCTAATTTGTAATTGTAATTATTTTTTACCTTTGTGAAAAATGAACTGTTTCAACATTTATTTTCCAAGGTAACTTGGACGAAGGGGATGATATTACTGTCTTTAAGTGTAGATTAACACCTAGGACAAAACAGTTGTCCAGTACTCCCCGTTGGTTTTCCAATGGTTCTCTAACCAATGTCAGCTCATGATGAAATCCTGTAACCAATCAACCAAATCCCTACAAACCAATACTTGAATAACACCTAACTGTTTGTGAGACAACCCTGAATGGAATTTGAAGGTACAAGGGCTTAGAATGCAAGTAGTGACCAAAACATGAAATGCAAAATTAGATTTTGGTTATTAGAGGTGAAAAAGATCGGAGGGAATTTCAATAAAGGGACCGTGGGAAAAGGACTGAAGGTAAACGACACTTTCCAGGGTTATTCAAATACATCAGAATAAATGTTTTCAAATACTAGTTCAGGCATAATCTTGTGTATTTTTTAATGACTTAGCAACATGTCTTACACCGTCAGGGTGAGAGAAGACTTTACGCTTATTGCTTGAGCGTTGGGATGAAAGTTTTAGAAGGAATAACAACAGAATTTCGATAAAGAAAGGAAGACGAAATTTGCAGTATAAAATGATATCATTCTATTTCACAGGTTCTCATCAGCTGCAGACTACCTGAAATTACAATGGTTATATAGATGATAATAACATACTTTAATGTTCGAGTGGTGGTAGAAAAGAGATACTATAAAATTGACGCATCTAAATGAAAGCATTACAATGTTTTTAGTTTAAGTTTTCATCATCAATTTATACGCTTTTAAAGTTGAAAAGATATCTTCATGGGCTACCTTGAGCAAACACAACTAAGTTCTGCTATCAATGGAACTACCTACTATCGCCGATATGTTGATGACACATTTGTTGTTTGCAACGATATGGATCACGCATCGGCACTATATGATCGCCTAAATGAGATACATCCAAATATCAAATTCACCATGGAATATGAACATAATAATGAGTTCAATTTCCTGGATCTAAATGTAAAAAGAACAAACGAAGGCACGGTCGAAAAGTCCATCTATAGAAAAGAAACCTGGACTGGACAATATCTTCACTATAACAGCTTTTGTCCCATAAGCTATAAACGTGGATTAGTGAGGACTTTGTATGACAGAGCCAGGAAGCTATGTTCACCAAACAGGGTCGAAGAAGAATTAGTTTTCGTCGAGAAATGCCTAAGGGAAAATGGATACCCTAAGGGATTTATTCAGAAGTACAGCAGAGAAAAAGATGAGAAAGAAAAGCATCCAACTGTAGAAAAGAAAAAAGTGTTTATCTGTCTACCATACAAAGGAGATGCAGTGTCACAAAAGATTGACAAAAGACTGAAAGGTGCAATAAATAGAAGCTTCCCAGCAGCAAAACTCATAACAGTATACAGCACCACTCCTTCTTTAATACACTCAAAACTGGATAAATACCCTGCTGATGTCACCTCCAACTGCGTTTATGAATTCACGTGCACTTGCGGGAGCAAGTACATTGGAAGGACAGAAAGAAGGGCTTCTATCCGGTTTTCTGAACATATTCCCAAAAACCTGTGCCTGAAAGGAAGCAGATATTCCCAGAGTGCAATTACCAGACACATTATTGATACCGGACATCTCGTAGAGATTTCTAAGTCCTTCAAAATATTAAATAGACAAAGGACAGCAAATTTACTACGATTTGCCGAAGCAATCGCAATCAAAAGACTTAAACCAGACTTATGCATACAGAAAGAGAGTGTGATTAACCTCTCACTCCCTTGGTAACAGAATTTTGATTTTGATTAGTCATCTAATTCAGTGATCTCAACTCACTGAACAAATCTTAATCTCATAAACTGTAACCGTTTTTGTTTTTTTGTTTCTTGAGTTGCTATGTGAACCTAAAAGCTAACACTGTTCTGTTAATCAATTTTTTCTGTTTTCTCTCTTACCCCTCCCCCTCTTTTCAACTTTAAAAGCGTATAAATTGATGATGAAAACTTAAACTAAAAACATTGTAATGCTTTCATTTAGATGCGTCAATTTTATAGTATCTCTTTTCTACCACCACTCGAACATTAAAGTATGTTATTATCATCTATATAACCATTGTAATTTCAGGTAGTCTGCAGCTGATGAGAACCTGTGAAATAGAATGATATCATTTTATACTGCAAATTTCGTCTTCCTTTCTTTATCGAAATTTATCAAGGGAACCAAATGTATGAACAACAGAATTGTTGTGAATACTAAGCCATGTTAAACCTTTATGGATGATGAGTCCTTCGACAGCAGTTGACTGCTGTTATAGTGATCTAATGTAATAACGTTCGCAACCTAAATAAAATTCTAAAAATCACATAAAATTTTCATACTCCTGTTAAGCTATATTTTGGCCATAATGTTTTATAATTAGCTTTCTAATTAAATGAAAATCAAAGGTATTTATCATGCGGTATAGATTTAATGAAAATATTGACAACAGATTACATATTCTTTAGAGTTAAGTACTTGGCATATGTTTAGATGCCATTAATTCTATAATTTAGGGGAACTTTAAACTCACTCTACACATAAAAAGAAAGTCAGTTAAAAGCACAGTATCAGCTAACTTATTCTCTATCACACACACATACACAGATAGTATTTTAAAGTTTTCGTAAATATTTTGACTTCACTTTTAAAGGTTCCAGTAATTTTCAAGTTTTGGTTTCGTTTTGTTACAATTGTTGACTTTTCTTCAGACGCCATCATCAGCATAGTTTTAATCATAAAATTTCAAGATAAAATAATGTTCAAGTTAAATTGTACTTGAGTTCGTTTATATTTCTCATTCTTGATCTATGATCATTATTGCTATGATGTTTAGTATAAAATACTAATAAACTTATGCACTTAATTTGTGACAAACCATAGTGACAGGTATGAAAAGTTAACTTGTCGCTTTACTCCACATATTAAGCTATTCTATTATCACTGTTTAGCTAGATATATTCAGTGGTGTGCTCCTGAAGTTAGCAGATTTGAATCCACTGGCAATGTTGATGTATGGGGTTTAGGCTGTATCCTGACAATCCTGATATATGTCAAATATTTGTTGAAAGGTGAACATATTTCGGCAGTTAATCTACTGAAGACAAAAGAAGATGCATTTAGTCAGAAGTTGTCTTCAAAGGAAATGGTAAGTGTTTCAGATAAAATGAGATAAAGACAGCATAAAAATGGTAGATTATGATTTATTTTCAAATTTTTAAAATACTAAATTGCATTTTGTCATACTGTAGAAACGTCTTACCTCAAATATCTTATGATACAAATATTTAAATGATTCTGCAATATTTTGATGTGGTTTTGTTCTCTGAGCTGGATGGTTAGTTTGCAATAAACTGCTCTCCAAAAGTAATGAATGGATTTGTTATAAGTGACAGTGCTAAAACTGCGAAGGAGCACGAAGCAGTAATAGAGAAACACTGCATTTAAAATGTCTCCTTTATAGTTATTAATTTATGCGCGCGTACATATTTTTCTCTCATAGATTAAAATGAAAATTACTTTACTAAAAAATTTTCTCACACGTATGAGACATCTTTTGACTCAATAAAGGAAGGTGGTTGTTAAAGACCAATCAAATCCCTGCGAACCAACATTTGAATATCATTATGATGCTCACTAGTGATTGGACCTATTCAGGTAGGTAGTTATCTGGGGTTCCAGTGGGTTACAGCCATAGGGGTGTGACGACAGATACGCACAAAGGATTTTGCCTACTGATCGCTCTATATCTTCAATTGGTAGAAGCTGTAATGCATGGGCTATCGGATCCGATCTCACTGGCTTAGTGATCTACCAGCTCTCCTTGCAACCGGAAGGCCCTGGGTTCCAATCGTAGTAGGTGCGTGCTGATCAAGATTCCAAAATTAGGACAAAACAGCCCTCCAATACTCCAAAGTTATCCAGTGGTTCTCTAACCAATGTAAGCTCATGATGAAATCCTGAAGCCAGTCACAGTCTTGCAAACCAGCACTTGAATATGAAAAAAAGTTTACAATTTGGGCTGACCTGTTTTATATTGCTTAATACAAAGTGAATTTGATATGTAATAAATTTTGATTCTTACCCGTCTGCATACATAGAAGAGACTATTTTAATTATTAGATGTTATTTTGTACGTTCATTCTACAATAGGTGCTAATATGTAGTCTTCTAACTTAGTAAACTGAAGCATTCGTAACCTTGACTCACCCTTTCACTTTTTCCTTACAACCGGTTTCGCTGAATGGTATCAACAAGGAAAAAACAAACATATTTAGAGGATAATACAAGCTCGTTTTACTTCATGGATTCTTTCTCAAATTCATAAACGTTTTTCCAAGTTTACAGCAAAAGGTCACGAAACACTAAAAAAGAACATATCCTTCAACAAGTTAATTTCTCTCCAAAAATCTTATCCCTGCACAGTTTACATCTTCTGTGATAATTTCGCAAAATGTCAAATTTATTAATAATCACAACACCAAGAAGTTGCTTAAAATGAGTGGAAATTATTAAGGTTGTCACACAAACCAGGAAGAGATGACTGGTCTTGAAAAATAAGTTGTGCAAAGATGGTAAACCAAAAGTAAGAAGAAATTTTAAGAGCAGACATTTCGAGAAATAAAAAGAATAAGTTTTATCCGGAAAGTGAACAAAGTAAAAATGAAAGATAATTTGAAATAGTGTTAACGAAAACTGTAAAGCAGAGAAGATTAAACAGTTTTCTGAATTATGCATGCATCCATTTCTGTATGGAGGCAGTTGATACTTTACAAACAACTAGAGCAATGTATAATACTGTAGAAAGACTGGGTTACACTTCACTATTTATATTCAAAGAGGTAATTGGTGAAATAGTTTGGATGACATTGGTGAGTTACATACTCATGAATTCATCGTTATTATTCTTCAAACAAACGGGGCAGCATACCTGAATTCTCTTAAATTAGATTTCATTTAAGCGACCAACGTCGAGTGTTTACAGAGGGAAGCACTACACATCGAATAAAGGGATTCTGATAAAACATATTTTTAAACAGGTAGATGCTTCTCACTGGGATTTAAACTTTACATCTTTATATTTAGTCTGTATTGGGTGCCCACTTTCAGTCCGAATTCTTCTTCACGATTAAATATATGTAGTAAGTCAATAACCATAAATATAATCTGTAGTGGGAGTAGTGTTCAACAAAAGTTTAATAGCCACAGCAATAAAATGAAGCAACTGCCATGGGATCACCCATCCCAAAGATGAAAACTGACACATTCATGGATCTCCGAGAATAAATTGAGCTAAACAATTCATATCTTCATCGGTGTTAGTGGAAATATGTGGATGAGACAATAGACAAACTAAATAAAACGGATTTTAGAAAATCTTCACAGATAAACAATCATATAGACTCTACAGAGTTCATTGTGAGAATAGGGGATGAAGTTCAGAAACGGAATATTTAAGATCATGGAAACAGAGCTAAAGTATGTGATAGTTTAAACAGAGCAATTTATCTAGAACTGATGTACTCAGCAGGGTTTCTCGACTAAAACCCAACCAATCCATATGCTATAAATAGATGGTTAATACAGGGTATGGCAAACAGAATACGTAGGCTAACAACATCCACAGACGCCTAAGGAAGCACAGTAAACATTTGTATTGAAAATTCTATTCAGAGTTCATTGCCTGAAAGAACTCATAAGGAACAGTTTAAAGAAAAGCAGAGGAGAAAAACGGAACTGACGATAATAAGGAAGATAACTGTGACAAGACTGTAGTAGGACCATACAAGAAGGATATGTCAGAAGCTCTTTGAAGAAACCATTAGCAAGACAAACGTTCAAACCATAGTTAGGCCAGTGAGTATGATTGAAAACAAATGAAATCAGTTAAAATGTCCAGTAAAAACTGAACACAGACATTGTGGTGTATAAAATATCTTCCGCTGATTGCTTGGTTAACTATGTAGGTCAGACGTCAAGATCACTCTAAATGAGATTTAATGAAAAGTCAACCAACAGAAATATAAAAATTTAAAAGAAATTTATCATTAGCTACTCATGCTTGGGATGCGAAACCTGATATTGATCTGAACAACTTTGGTGTTTCGAAGTCCAGTATAATTAAATGGAAGACAGGATTCATATTCATGCATGTCACACCTAACATGCCCAAAGAAGGTAACTCAGCGCAAATGTCAACATCATGAAACATAGATCTGGGTATAAAAAGAGAGAGACTGTTATCTGTAAATATATGAGTAAGAATTTCATTTATAGCCATGACCTTAAACAGCAATTCCACCAGAAATATTGTCAGAGTTAAAAATTATTATTGCGTGTAAACACCTACAACAAAAACATTTGTTTCATACAATGATTCCCTTTTATAAATTTGAACAAAGAAAGAAGAAACGTTGGCGCAGAATTATCTGGATCCATTTTATTTCGTCAGTACTCACCAGCTGCATACAACCCGAATTCTTCAATAAAATAAAAAAGTGTACCATTTTAACAAACTTTTGTCCATTAGTAAGCATATTGTCAGAGTGTCATAGTGAAATAAGGCGTTGCGATTTACAAGGTGTCTAAAGTGGAGGATTTCATCATGAAATTTCGGTGCACATGAGGTCAGATGAGAAGTTGATGATGTAATACGGTGAGCAGAACTCAGAAGATCAAGAAAAATTATATCTCAAGAGAGTCAAGGAAAAAATAAAGGGGAGAGTGAAGAGAAAAGGTAACAAAATTAAAAAAACAAAGAGTTACTAAGAAGTGAGTCACCAGGGTAATTGAAGTCCAACAACGGATATTTTGGACACATAAGTCAGGCTTCAATCGTTTTATTGGTATAGCTTCAGCGAACCTTAGAAGACTTGAGATATTTTGTCTGTTAATTATTTTGAATGATTCTAGCACATCTACTCGGTGTCCTGTGTCAATCATGTGTTTGACGACTGAAGAGTTTAAACTATTAGGTCTCTTTAACTCGAGGCTCCTTGGTACATGTTCGCAGAATCTAACATAGACCCTCCTCTCTGTTCTTCCAATGTAACTCCTCCCGTAGATACATGTGAATTGGTATACATAGTTGTAGGTAACATGTGAGGGGTAATTGTCAATCTTTGCCTGCATCAGTAAGGAGGTTGTTCGGGGTAGAGAAAATAGTAATGCTGCAGGATACGTCCTAGACAGGTCTGCGCTTAGTCTTTTATTTACCATTCTCACAATGTCGTTGCCTTTAAAGTCGAGTTTGATGAAAATAGGTTTCTTACTGGCTGTAGCTGTATCAAGCTTCTTGAGTTCATTTTTGCCATATTTGTTAATGAAACTTTGTCGGTAACCATTATCTTTCAAGCATTTTTCAAGAAGCATTAGTTCACTGTCTAATTTGTTTAGTGAACATATTCTCTTCTCTCTACAGAAAAACGTTTTCACCAGCATTCGTTTGTATCTCACTGGACAGAAGCTGTTGAAATTCATGTAAAGACCACTCCATGTGTCTTTACGATATACAGATCTTCCGAGCGTCTCGTCATACTTTCTCTCCAACTTTAAGTCCAAAAAAATGGAATTTTTCTCATCTGACCTCTCATCCAATTACGTAACTATTACTAATTTTCTTTTGTTACCGACCCAACAACACAACTGTAAATTATTTTTTTCAAGAAACTTCTCTTTAACAAGATATATATATATATATATTGCATGGAGGATTTCATGATGAAATCCTCCACTTTAGACACCTTGTAAATCGCAACGCCTTATTTCACTATGACACTCTGACAATATGCTTACTAATGGACAAAAGTTTGTTAAAATGGTACACTTTTTTATTTTATTGAAGAATTCGGGTTGTATGCAGCTGGTGAGTACTGACGAAATAAAATGGATCCAGATTATTCTGCGCCAACGTTTCTTCTTTCTTTGTTCAAAAAATTTGTAATAACAAAATAAATGAGTCAGCATAAACAGTATTGAGGGCAAAAGCTAAATATGATTCAATAGATGTTATGACACAATCTAACATAAGCAGCTTTTGGTTGTAACAGGATATTTGCCCAGTGCATTTTGGGCCTGCCCTAGAATCGGGGTAGGCCATAAACAGGTTAGATTACAAAGGAAGACCAATGGTGAATGTAATCCAATGGA